TTAGGGGTGCCGAGCTCTGCACCCAGCCCCCTCGCCTCTGCAGCATGCTAACTGTATTGACACAATGGAAGAGAGCAGGACCTGTGCCACCAAACACTGCATAATTCATACATTTGACTTTATGACAGGACTTAACAACAGTCGCATGTCATGTGCAGTAAGCTGTTAAAGTACACAAGGCTAAACTGCGGGAACAAAATCATTTTCATTTTGTTCATCCTTCCTACTGTGTTACAAAAGCAGCTAAAAATATACCTACTTGACGCAGCAGAGGCAAATCTAACTTCCTTTTTACACCCATGACGAGGCAGAATGAACACCAAGAGGAACAAAAGTCACAGTGTTGAATGCTGTTAATGAGGCTCAGTTTTGCTGAACCTATAAACACTTTGCTTTGCAGCTCATTGATTGATTTTATATTTGAATGCTCACGTTTGGACTTAAAATCGAGGCAACAGTTGCTAAAATAATCTTCTTTTGGATCAACAAATTAAAGCAACCAAAGCTGAGGAGGTCAAGGGTCAGAGCTTCCAAACACTGTGATGCAACAATTATCAGTGGAATATAAGGTCTGATTCAAGAGACAAACAATCCATCAACAACATATGAGCCACTAATGGTTCTGATTTGTCCGCTCAGGTCTCTACTACTGATAAACTCACAGGAGACAGAGGAGCTGTAGCATACACAGCCTGCCAGGTCTTATTGATGATCTGACCTTTCATCCAAGGACATGTTTACACAGAGGCCATAAACACTGTCTCCCTCACATTCTGTTTACATTATTAATACAATAATACAAATAATAAAAACTTGTCTTTCATTATTAAACTCTCCTCATACACAACAATACACACAAACACCCTCCCTGTATGTGACTGTCAAACACAAGCATGTAAACCCAGAAGGCAAAGCACACCTTCGCACTGACCTCACTTCACTCCAAGTGTGTATGTTTGTGTGCATTTGTGTACGTGTGTGCGTGACCTTGCAGAGGAATTCCCTTTCTCCCCGAGCTCAAGGGAAGTGATACCCTGCAGACGGGCAAATGAGTCGGAGAGCAGCTCAGGACATGCACACGAACACAAACACACACCTGATGGAGGACGGTGAGCGCAAACTGTTGCTGAGCAGACGTCGCGTTAACCAAATACTTCACGCCATTTATTGATTTGTTTTTTTACAATGATGGCGGCGTGTGCATATGTTTTAGCTACTAGCTGTCTCGTCTTTTCTTAAATATCACATGCATGATGATGTCTAACTGGTTTTAGCAATTAAACTGGTGGGCTATTTCACGACATACCATTGCAAAATGTCAAAGTAGCTAAGTGTCTGAAATTTCTTTGCACAGTAGGTGTTCATGTTTCCTCTCCATGCCCTTAAATGCATAATCTATAAGACTGTTTTGTGTATTACTTACATTTAAAACATAAAAATGTTTTAATGAAAAATAAATGCTATTAAATGTCTTACTCAAATTAAAAAATTAAAGTTAAAACAACAGTAACAGAAAATGATAGAATTTTCACAACCCTATCTGTCAAAGTGACGTACAAAATAAAATCTAATGCAACCACAGGTGCCAAGTTACTCACACAGACGCGCACACACACTCACAACACACACAGTGAGATCCATCTTTCCATCTACCAGTGCCCTCTTCCAGCCGTGGAATCAGAGTGCACACACACCCGGACACCTACAACCTCACCTCTTCCTCTCCAGAGTGTCCCCACAGCGCGGCGGATGCTTCCTCTAAAGGACACTATTGACCCGTTACATATACACACGGGCCAATTACCAGCGAACCCACTGCTGTGCTGAACAGCACCTCACCCATCCTACAGCATATACTGTAGACGGCCGCGTCTGAATATTTCACTGTTGCTAGGAGACGTGAAAATCCTTGAACACATCTAGTTGGCTGTTAATACAAGTGGAAAAGACATAGACTTCAAGCAAATTGATAAAAATAAAAAAAATAAAAAACACAAAAGCCCAAAGCACAACATTTTTGTCAGCTAGATATGCTTTTCTGATAGCTTATGTCATTTCCTGTGGCAAAATCCACAAAGCTGAGGCTGGATCTGTCTCTGCTGTGGGGACGGAGGATGATGGGCAGGGAGGGAAAAGAGTGAGAGGAAAAGGAGACCAAGTTTATTAGTGTGGGGTGTCAAATAAGTTTCATCAGGCTTTGCTGAGTAGATGAAACCAGCAAAAGCCACTAAATCAGATGTCTTGCTTTACGCTCTATCGTTTAAGGAAGTGAACGCTGCATCTCTTTTGATAAGCTGATCCAAAATGAACGAACTTAACCTCTAACTTTACCCTCCAGTTTCATCTTGAGCTTTGTGACAGAGCAATTTTTACTCACAAGTCTCTTTAAGTACTTATGTACACAGCAGGCCTTTTTCACAGCAGACATTTTGATGTGTCGCAGTAGAAACAGCACAGATGTCAGTAATAAATGTGTTTATGATGGCTGGATTCCATTTAGCTGCTTCAGTTTGAGGCTCCTGGTATTGTGCACGCTGGCTCACTGTCCCACTGTCATGACTTACTGGCACACTCGAGCAGAAAAGAGCCACCATTAGTAACACCTGTGCTTCTTCCACTATGACTACGAAGTCAAAATGTCTGCTGTGAAAAAAGCCCACATCTTATTATCTAATTTCACGTTTTAAAAATAAATACAGTTTTGATTATACAGCAGTGTTTCATGCTGACTCACTTCCTTCCACATCCTTGATCACCTTCCAACTATCAATACCTAAATCTACACCTACAGAGTGCTCCGCTCTGAATAAAGCACCAGAGTCCTGCCTCGACTTCCAGACTTGCTTCTGTTGCGCCGTGTGCTTTCCCACAGAGACTTTAACCACTGATCTGTAATGGTTCTGTTCATATGAAAAGATAAATCCACAGATGCATTGATCCTCAACTTTTATTATCTTTAAAAGGTGCAGAATGTTTCTCCAGATTCCAACAATACTGACGTCCTTTCTTTTCATCAGTGTATATTTCACTCAGACTGGAGCGAGAGCTTCATGATATTGTTCTCGTTCCCATTAAATCTCATGGAGTTGCAAGATTATTTTAAACTGTGATATTTTGAATGAACCGCACAGCAGGGAGGCGGCCGGGCCTGTCAAGCTAGTGATGTTTTGAATCAAGATATGAGGTTCGGGAATGGTGTTCATTTAAACCCACTGAGAAACAATAACACTGAATGAACAATGGCATACTCTTATTCTTAAAGATTGGAGTAATTATGGAAGCAGGTAATGTTTAGAGCATGCTGTTGGTCATTTTTTTGCAAGGCTGCACAATTAATCAAAATATTATCGAAATCGCAATATGGCCAAGTGCAATATCCAAATCACAGGAGCTACAATTTTGGATAAAGGTAAAACGTATCACTATAAATAAAATACAGTGATGCTACAGAGATGCCCCGACCTACAAAATCATATTCCAGACATAAGGGAAGATGTTTGTTTAGTGGTTTGATGTTTAAAGTAGGTGATAGCAGTTAGCAGCTAACTCAAAGAAGGAGGACAAGAGGATGAGCGCAGCCGCCATATAACAAGGATGGTAAATAATTGTAATTGTCATGTTAATGCTATTGTTATCCGGGCTGCCCCCTAACTGTCAACTAAACATTAGTCAACCAGAAAGGTCATTAGTCATTGAAATTTTATTGGTCAAAAAACACACCTTGTCAAAATAAATCAAAATCTATAAGACTGGACCATGTGGGAATTTAATCTGAAGGGACAGACACAGGAAGTGTCCACGCTCAGCAGTCAGACAGGAGTCAGGTTAAAAACCAGTCACAGCTGACAGATATGTTTTCCTTCTTCTGTAAATATTCAGTCTGATAAATACGGAAAAGTTGATCATGTTAGTGCAGGGCTACCCAGAGCTTTATGGTGCTTGTTAAGGTTAAGGTTGCTTAGCGACCTCAGACACAACCTGTTGCCGTGCTCTTGAAAGCTGGCACAAAAAAGGCACAAAAGTAGCACCCAGTGCCCGACCTCACGTTTCCAGGCAGGTAAAGACACAGCATGTGTACAGCCCCTAATTTCCAGGGCTGGTACCTGTGGTTATTCCACAGGCTAGTTAATAACATGTCGGGCAGGAAATCCAAAGTGTGGGATCATTTTGAGAAGGTGAAGGACGAACCCAAGGTGATATGTAAACTCATCTTCATTGGTCGACTACAAACATGACGTATCATCTGAAACATGGAAGTAGCTACATGCCCATTAGCCCACAGCATCATTAACAGGCGGCTCGCTCAGTGTGTGACGTGCACTTGAAGAAAAAATATAGGCCTATATTAATGAAGGTTCATTAGTACGGTTTTGTATTTCTCTGTAATGTAGCACAGTGTTAACAATGTTACTGATACTATTCTTTCTCACACCTTCAACTCAAACCATTGTGTTGCCCCGCCCAAAATATATCATTTAATAATTGAATTAATATCGTAAACATGCAGGTGACTAGTCGACTAATGGCCCTAAATGATGACTATTGGTCGACTAGGAAGATTCTTAGTCAAGGGCAGCCCTAACATTTTTCAAGAATTTTTGACTTTCAAAACAGAGTTCAGAGCTTGTGTTCACTTGAGTGCTCTGAAAAGACAGAGAAGAAGAGAGGAAAGAATATTACTGAGTAACTAGAGAGGATAAAGAGAAGTAAGTATAGGTAAAGAAATAGGGAGACAGGAGTAGAGAGATGGGGAGAAAGAAAAACAAGCAGTTGACAAAGGTGAGGAGAGGACTAGAGAGATTAAATATGATATTAGTTTCACAATCTGAACCTTAAAACAAAGATTAAAAATGGGACATGGATAACTAAAACAAGAAAGACAGATAATAAGCATAGAAAAAACAGAAAACAACAGGATAAGGTAGTGGTGACTAAGTTAATATCCATCCATGGAGCACCACCTAATAATGTGCACATCTGTGTGTGTTCAGTCCACCTACCTTGACACTGGAATCCCTGCTTCCCAAAACCCCTGTGAGGAGAACATACATAGAAAACAGGTTTAGCATTTTACAGGCACAGACATGTGTACACACACTTACTACTCTCTCTGTCACACACACACACACACACACACACACACACACACACACACACAGAACTTGGACAAGGAATTCTGGAACCCTCTCTCTTCGCCTCAAGACATTTGCGTAGAAGCAAATGTCAAATGCTGTCTGCCATTTGTGCGCAGCACTTAAGCTCTCCATCCAAAAAAGAGCCCCACACAAACACACAATGAAGTCTGCGGGCGGCGAGGACATTCGATTATTGCATGAACAGTATAGTACATGTACTGAGGTCAGCTCGGGTCCACGAACCTGCTCACATGTACTATTCTGTTAGACGGGGCTGCAACTGCCCCGGGCCAAAATGGTAAACCATACCTCGTCGATGGTATGGGGAATGCTGGGGTGTCTGCAGGTGCATGCATGCATACACACACACTGTTGCATGAACGCACATTTAGCCCTGCTCATTTTCATATTGTGGCTACAAATAGATAATCTCTAGGGGTGTGAAATCACTCGGTGCACTCGTTGTTCTTTTCGTTTTGCTTATTGACCTAAATTGATAGACAGATAGATAGACAGATAGACAGATAGATAGATAGATAGATAGATAGATAGATAGACAGATAGATAGATAGACAGATAGACAGATAGATAGATAGATAGATAGATAGATAGACAGATAGATAGATAGACAGATAGACAGATAGATAGATAGACAGATGGTTTGATAATCTAAACGGGTCAAGCAATTACACAGGGTGCACAATGTTCTTCTATTTAAGGGGTATTTACAACCAGTGAGACCATCCCATTAGATTTCCATGAACGCACACACACAATCTTCTAGGTCAAATCATTTAGCCATTCACAAATTAAAAAGCCCGTCACAGGAGTTAAATAATGGCCGTTTTGGGAATAGCGCACAGTACGAGATAATAATAAGCGGGGACAAATTAGGCCAACCTAGAGCCGGAAACTCATTTAATAACCCGAGCGCAGTCACTGTCTAGTAAGCCCTGGTGGCTTGCATGGTGACATGTCTGCACAGGTGATTTAGAGGAGAAAATGAAGAGAGAAGAAGGAGGGAGGAGGAGGAGGAAGGCTGAGGTTGTGTCAGCAGTTATATCAGTGTTTGACCCCGAGGTTAGCACTCTTCCTGCTGGCTGCAATTCACCGCTTTTTTAGGGAACGTGGTTCATTTTTGCTCTCAGCCTCTCAGTTCCTCTGCCTACTTAATACCATCAAACAATGGTCTGCAGCGATTCCTTTTTTTATCAGTGCAGCCCACATATCTCTCCGTCTTCCCTCCTGCCCTACCTTTCATATATAGCATCAACAAGTGCAAGAATAAGACGAAATCGATGTTTATTTTGAGGAATGTGTGCAACCGGTGCAGCCCTCCCACTTTTATTCCTGCTGTACCTTTATGATGTAATACTATCAAACACTACAGCCATTTTGTCTTTTTCATATCAATGGGCCCCATTTCTCCTTTTCTCACCACTTTACTCATTTAAATTGACATTAAATCATGAGATAAACTTGTCTTGTGGTTTCTTCCCTTATTTTTATGCCATTTTTTGGTGCACCCACTGTTGTCTCAACTTAAAAATCTATTTCTAAACAATTCATTATATCAAAATTAATTCCTATTTCATTGAAATAGTCTATGACAGCAGCAATTAAAGTGAAACTCTGCTGTGAACCCTTAATTCCATCCATCCCCAGCTCCTCACCAGATGAAGTCGGTGCAGTGGCTGCAGAAGGTGGGCTGCTTGAAGAAGCGCGCGATGAATTTGTGGTCCTTCACCTCGTGCACGTTCTTCTGGCGGAGGGCTCCCTGGCGCGCGAAGCCCCGCATGGGCTCGCGGGGTCCGTCCTCCCCGTCGCTGTTGGCCGCCGCCGAGTCTGCCATTCTCCGACTGTCAGTGCAACTGTCTTTATTTTGACTTTAACGAACCCGACGCGAGTTGCAGGAGGTTGAATGCGTCTCTGAAGGGTTGCAAAAGTCGCGCCTGGTGCGTTGCTCCGGGTAGAGGAGTTGATAAACTGTGGTGCAGGTTGTTTTTGGGTGTCTGTGATGTTGTCCGTCAGTTGAGTAGAGACGAGCTGCCGATGCGCTGCTCTCACTCCGCTTCCTCCTTTTCTTGTGAGCGCACAGACTGACTACCAGAAAGAGAGAGACAGAGAGGTAGAGGAGGAGGGGAGAGAGAAAAAGAAGGGGAGGGAGAATGAGTGAGGAGCTTTAACTTTCTTACTTTTCCTTGACATTTAAATGTTATTTGGAGAGGCTGAACTGTAAAAGCTCATTTACCTCTCTACGCCCTGACACTTTCTACCTAAAAGTGCACTTTAATTAGTCTGTTAAATGTGACTTTGAAATACCAAGCATTCACAGCGCTGAATGGGTTCTTTTGTCTGTCAAATATTAAAACAGAATCTGTCATGTAAAATAAGAATATCTTTATACCCTATCAGTTTCCTGTGTCATACTGGAGGTAATGCTAAAATTTAAAGTGTTAATCTGATGATCATCTGTTTTGGTGAATGCCTGTGGTGATATGTTTTTATGAAGTGAGTTTATGTTGCTGTGGGAGTGGATGAAATCTGCTACCACCACAGCCCGCATGTGAGTTTAAACTGCAATACTGATAGGCTGTTCATAAGGGACAACACATTCTCACTCCGACCTCGTCACATAGCCTATAGACGTTTTAGTCATGGACCTTCCACATCCAGATATGACGTGAAAGGTGCATTGATTGCTGATGTTGTGGGACACCATGTCAAGTTCTGCCTGTTACATGCATTGTCTTCTTTCAAAATACACTTCCATTTTCACAGGAAATTTACTGTTTATATACAGTCTCTTTCAAAATAAACCCACAACATCAGTACAACAACATACACACATGGCTGGGTTTAGGCAACAAAAAAGGAAAAAATTATCCGCACACCGATAGAGCTCCCATTAATCCATGATTTATTTTCTGTCAAGTGACGTTTCGAGCAACGCAGGCTCTTCCTCAGACTTGTAATCATATCATATCATTCATTACATGTCTGATGAAGAGCCTGCGTTGCTTGAAACGTCACTTGACAGAAAATAAATCATGAATTAATGGGAGCTCTATCGGTGTGCGGATCATTTTTTCTTTTTTTGATGGATGTTAGAAGTTTATGATCCAGCACCCTTTAAATATTTCTTTGGGATGTGCGTGTTATGATCTTTTTTCTGGGTTTAGGCAACAACAGCACGTGGTTAGGTTTAGGAAAAATGTTTGGCTTTAGAATCTTCCGCCGCCTTAACTTTCATTCTTTTCCAGCAAGGTTTCCCCCTTACACTGTCAAGTCCCATTAAAGTATAACAGCGTCTGGCCGCGTACCATGCCGAAGTTAAAGGACGCCTTTTTCCGTCAGTGTCTGATGCCGCAAGTCACTGCTCAAGCACCGGATTTCGACAACCACGGAGTGAGACTGGGTTTCCAGGGATGATTTTTTTTGTACCAACGCAGGAGTTAGCACTGCATTGGTTCTCTCATCAAAAAGCCTACAAGATTTTTCCTTTGGATTTTGGATTATTGCTTACAAACTTTCATGATACTTGCACGTTTTGTTCAGGAAGATAATCTTCACAAATGAACCCCACATGATTACTGAAGCCAAAATGCTAATGTTGGGCTATAAAAAAAAACTACACCACGGTCGCATGAAGCTGTGTTTGGCGCAGCTCAGCGTGATGGCGTTCTGCAGTCTTATTTAGCCACTAGTAAGTAACCGCCTTTTTTTTAAGACACATAGAAGCTTCAAAGTTCACGAGTGAGGTATTAACTGTATTATATGTTGTAGAACAAAACACTGAACTCTCTTAAACTTGTGTGAACCACAGACCTTCAGGTATCTAACCAGAACCCATTCAAAAACCCATCGACTTCAAGATGAGGGAACCAGGAGTGATAAAATGCAAACTCCTGGGGCAATCTATCTGGGCATAGTACTATTTCCTAGAAAATCAAGTGATTTTTGTTATGGATTAAATAACCATGATCTGTAGTCTGTAAAACAATACTGCCATGCCAATGCACACTGAAATGGTTGTCTGTATCTTTCTGTCTACTCTAAGACTCCTGGACCAATCAGCCTCATATTTTTTGTGTACATTTATGACTGTATGCTTAAAGGACCTCTTGTGGTTGTGGTGATTTAAATTTGTTTTATTTACTTTTTTTATACCATCACTGATTGCTGACTCCTCACACCTCTTAAGCAGTTAAGTGCTGCAAGCATTTTGGGCAATCAGCTAAACAAAAAACAAGAAGCATCTGCTGCAGGTCACACCTTGGACTTTGTCGGCTCAAAAAAGTGACATCCATAGAAAAGTTTGGCCTGATTTTGCACTGGAGCATCTGCAGATTAATTCCACACCCCAATATGTTATTATCCACTAAAGTTAGGCAAGATACAAGGTGAATAAATTCCTGTTTTCTTATCTTGGCCACCATCTAGACTGTAAGGGGGTCGAGAGGGACAGTTCCAACGTTCACAGCTGCACCATATGTATTGTCTAGAGTGGCTGTGATCAGTTCCAGAGACTGCTTGATGGAGTTTTGCACTTTGGTTGCTGTTTCTGTTCCTGTTCGCTGACTGCAACAAAATCCCTTCCTAATGCTGTATCAGTGTGATTTGTCATATAATGTGTCAAGTGATAGGGAACAAAATCCACAGTCCTCGGTCTGTGCTAAAATGCACTCCACAGTTCGGGCAGCATCAGTTTAAGGCTTTCACAGTCTGAGTTAGACAAATGAAGTACGTCTCTTCCAAAGTTGGAGTCCTTGTAGTACGACGTTCCCTCTGTGCTCCCATGGACAGTTCTGAGCATAAAAAGAAAGGCTCTTGAAAAGATACAGATGATTTGTCTAACTCAGACAGCTGGAATTTTAAAAATTAATTTATGTGCAAAATCAGGACAGATTCTGTCCCCATCATCTCGTGTTGCTTCAGGAGGGGATATCTTTGCAGCTCATATGGACAGAACAAACAACTATGGCACCCTTTATATATTATAACTCATTCAGAATCAATGGCATGTCAGTGTTGTATTCAGATATACCTCAAAAATTCTAAACCTATCCTTTAAACATAATTTCAAGGATTCAGGGTCACATAGTGGTGCCACAATAAAAGTTCAGTATTTCCATGCAGTCCTGTTAATTGATTTTTAAAACTGTCCACTATGGTCTGATACACCCAGATATATGAAAGCAACAGATATCTTAGTATTAACTGTATGGTTGTTCAACTGTTTAACTGCTGTTTAATACAAATGTCTAATCAGCCAGTAATGTGGCAGCAACTCAGTGTATTTAGACATGTAGACATGGTCAAGACGATGTGCTGTAGTACAAACTAGCATCAGAATGAGGAAGAAAAGTGATTTAACCACAACCATCACAACCATCTCTAGGGTTTACAGAGGATGGTCCCAAAAAGAGAACATATCCAGTGAGTAAAAGTTCTCTGGGCCAAAATGCCTTGTTGGTGGCAAAGGTCAGAGGACAATGTCCAGACATGTTTGAGCTGTTAAAAAGGCCACAGTATTGCAACTAAACACTCGTTACAACCAAGGTATGCAGAAGAGTGTTTCTACAGACACAACATGTTGAACCTTAAAGCAGATGGGCTACAGCAGCAAAAGACCACACCAGGTGTTTATCTAGTCAGCTAAGAACAGGAGGCTACAACTGGGTTCACCAAAACTGGACAACAGAAGATTGGAAATGTTGCCTGGTCTGATGAGTCTGGATTTCTGCTGCCACATTCAGATGGTATGGCAAGAATTTGGTGTAATCATGAAAGCATGGATCCATCCTGCCTTGTATCAACGGTTCAGGCTGCTGGTGGTGGTGTAATGGTGTGGGGGAGATTTTCTTAGTACCAACTGAGCATGGTTTAAACACCACAGCCTACCTGAGTATTGTTGCTGACTGTGTCCATCCCTTTATGACCACAGTGTACCCATCTTCTGATGGCTACTTCCAGCAGGATAACGCACCATGTCACAAAGCTCAAATCATGCTTGTCCCACTGGTAGAAGGCCCCGGGGCAGACCCAGAACATGCTGGAGGGATTACATATCTCATCTGGCCTTGGAACACTTTGGAATCACCCAGAAGGAGCTGGAAAGCATTGCTGGGGAGAGGGACATCTGGAGCACTTTGCTCAGCCTGCTGCCCCCACAAACCCGGCCCCCGGGTAAGCGGTTGAAAATGGATGGATGAATGGTTAGTAGTCGCTGCATCAACAACTGCTGCCACCTGGTGTGAATTATACCACCACAAAAGGGAGCCTCTGTGCGTTGGTATCTAATGCCCAGATCACTGACAAAGTGACAGTATCCGATGACTTCAGAATGGGAACTGGCTATATTATCCAACACTACCTTCAAATGTAGCTTGTGAGTTCATGTTTTTAACATGTAAGTTGAGAGCTGTTTGGCAGGTGGTAAAAGTTGTGAGAAGATTTTTACTGTGCAAACTTTGCCTTGTCACAGACCTCCAAACACAGCTGCCATATAGAACGCCATCTGCAGATTGTGCCAAGGACCTCCATCTGAAAGGACATTTAAAATGTGTTTGAAATGTCCGTTCTATGCTCAAACTGCTCGCCTGTACATGTAAAACGATGTGTTCCATTTTGAGATTCACTTTTATCTGGAGCAGGTTATGCAAATGCTGTGTATGGAGCAGCAGCAGAATGAACGCCATTTCTTAAACCAGCACTACAGCCAACAGTAAACACAAAGAGTGACGTTCAATATTTGAAATTCAAGTGCTCATTTCCAAAAAGAGATATCTCCCATTTGGATATGGGAAAAAACACAGACTCTTTAAGTCTGAGTGCTGGCATTGAAAGCAAGCACAGTTGCTGAGTTCTGACTCATCTTAAGACTTTTGCTTTCAAAGGGATTTTGGAGGATCATCATCTGCGATTGTTGGATGAATTTCATGTCACAAAGTTTTCCAAGATGCATTTAAGGTATTAAATGATGTGACTTCCTGAGTCATTTGATCTGTGAATAAGATGCTTCATAGAAAGAGCCAAGTAACCTATTTAACCACCTGCATCTCTCAGTATAGTAAATGTAGAGAGATGAAT